GTTGACTGTCCAATTTTGTTTTTGATTAAACAGGGTAAAATGATTTGGAAAGTGAAAGAATATTATATCACTGGAAACACCAAGAGTAGTTTTATAGGTTGTTACCTACATGAGTGACATTTTCATTCTTTTCTTTTTTCAGAATAAATGAGGCTTTTTCCTTCTTCTGTCTCATTCTAAAAATGTGTTGTCATAATGGTTAAGATCAGAGGGAGTTTGATGAAACTCTAAGTCTTTATGGACATTTTTCATCAAAATATGGTAACTATAGCATCATACCTGCTAAAAGTGACCAGAAATAAATATCTGCTAATCAGGATACTGACTTTTCATGGAAAGTTCTAGAGATGCTCTTATGAATGATTCCTTTCAATTCTTTTCTAATCTCAAAAACTATCAATTTGCCTTTATTATTGTATACTCTTTCCTTGGGTCCCATTTGTAGATGTTCTCTAATAATATGGAGAAAGTCAGCTTAATTATACTGGAAATACATCTCTAGTCTCCAAAAACATTTTAGGATGGACTACTCCTGTGAAGGTTTCTTGTAGCAGCAAATTCTACCTACTGCATGTGAATTTTCTTATAGCCTGAACAAGTGCCCTTATCTGACTTTTGCCTGTTTTACTTTTCGTTCAATTTTAATGTTTATCTAGGGGAGTGGAATCTCCCTTTGGGCTTTTTTTGATTCTGCCCACTCACATGTTTAACGTAAAATATTCTCACCTTGCCATAGCTATTCCAACAACACAGCCTCCAACTATGGACCAAAATCCAATCCAGCCAGCATCTACCTGTTAAGAAAGTGGAAGACATATTTAATACAAGATTATCATATTGAAGTTTAGAAGGCAAGGAGAAACAATCCTCTATAATCAGTATGTCAATAGCTAAATGGCAGCAAATCTAGGAAACACTATTTAAGAAAATGAATCAAATGAAAGGATTCATGTGTGACTAATTAATACAAACTTACCTAAATAAATACATCATTGATTAACTTTTTATTGGAATATTTAAATCAACAAAATACTCAATGTCACAAACAGATATTTTTCAAATGTGTTCTACATGCCAGGCATTGTACCAGGAACTCTTAAGAAAACAGGCAAAGGAGAAAAGATGGTCACTGACCTAAAAAGCTTAAATACAGCCAAGATACAGGAAACTACTAGGCAATAATTAAGTGCTAAAATGTCTGCACAAGTAAAAATGTATTAAGAGAAACACAGAAGAGTATGGGAAAGAGAGGGTTGGGGGGGCGGGGAGAGAGAGTATGGGTGGAGCACCTGGTGAAACTAGACAGAGAAAGAATTTGAGCTGGATTTCAAATGGATAGCTCGCTCCACTCTTGAAGAAAACATTTCCAGCCCTGCCATTTACTAGCTTTGTGACTTTGGGCAAATTATGTCGTCTTACCTATAAAATGGACTAAATGAGAGAATCTGCATATAGAACTTCGATCAGCAGTCGACATACAGGAAGTGCTCAATAAAGGTTAGAGCTGTTATGGTTACTTGATGATGTTTCTCTATAATCTAATGTCTTGTCTCTTTGCTACCTTCATGGACAAACTTATTCAGAGCAATCTACAAATGCTGCCCATATTTCCTAATCACTCATGTATCTCTCTTTTTTTTTTATTCAAACAGAAAGTCACAAAAATTATAATCATCCTCATCTGTTCACTCAGTCCCATGTAATTAATTTTTTTCATCTTGATCTTTTGTTAGCACTTTTATGAATTCATCAGTTTTCCATTAGAGTTCTGAAGATGCTTATTCATTCAGTTCAGCAGTATAGTCAGTTACCAGAAACCTGTACTTGTCAGTCTTTTTCTTTAACTCTTACTATGACTTGGCTTCTATCTCAACTACACCCCAAGTCTCAGTTTCCTCATTAGTAGAATGGGGATAGTAAGGATTTTTCTGAGAATTAAATAAGTTAATAAATGCAAAGTGCTCAAGACCTGTTAGCTGTCGATACCTGACATTCCGTGTGTCCCTAACAATATTGGTGCATTTTGTCTCCTCTTTCCCCTTCCCCCAGCCATCACACTTGCTTATTATATTATTTCTTACTTCTGGACTCCTGTAATAGCAATATTTTTGCCCACTATTGCCAGAATAATTATCCCAATCATTCCACTCTCCTGCTCAGAAACAGTTACTGGCTTTCCTTGTAGTTATAGGGCAAAGTCCAAACTTGACCTGGCACTTGAGAGCTGCCCAAACTAAATTCTACCTTTTATTATTTTTCTACTCACTTTTCATTACAGCTGTGATAGAGCTTGTCAGTTGTCCACCAAGATATGTTATATCTTATTCTACCAGGGTACTTACTTAGATTACATGCCCTAGCCCCTACTCAGCTACATGTGACCACATGACTAAGTTCTCATCAATGGAAGGGGAAAAAGTGAGGTGTGCCACCTCTAGGCTAGAACCTGGAAGACAGCTATATACCCCCTCCATGCTTTCTTTCCCTTTCTGCCAACTGGAATCTGGATGGTAATCCCACTTCACCCATGCATATAATGACAAGGTCCCAGGAGACAGAAGACCTGCAAAGTGGAAGCAACCTAGGTCTTAAATCAGTGTGAGGAAAAGAGTAGTCCCAACTGTGAACAACTGTCCTAGATTATTATGCAAACTGTTCTAGATTGCTATGTGAATGAGAAACAAATTTCTTCTTAAGTCTCAGAATTTTGGGATTCTTAGTCTACTCTAAGTAATACAATAACTTTATACAAATCTTCTTGCTCTACCAGTGTCTGGTTGCACAAGCAAAGATAAATGCTCTCTGGAGAAAGATAACACCAGAAACTTAAATTATCTCTACATTTTTTTCATACTACTGGCATGAAGGGCAAGAGAATTCTCTGTTCTTCAGAATGACCCTCTCCTTGCATTTAGCATCCATTAATACTATGGATTAAGGTCCATTAATACTATGAGCCCCCCACAAACATTCTCATCTATCCCCTAGGTCAGTGGGGTCCTGCATCAGGTGAAGAACCACTGTGTATCTGACTGTACTAGCCCTGGTCCTTTCAGGCCATTTTGTGCTTTTCTCCTTCCCCTGTTCATGACATTTGCTTTAGTTAATAACATTCTACCCAATAATTAATTAAATTTTTTCTTTGCTTGAATTTAATTAATTAATTGGGGGGGGCAGTACCTTCATTTGTCCACCAACCCAGAAGCTCTGTTTTTAATTTTAAATTCCATTTTGTTTAATACCTGGTATGATTCACGGTCTCTGTATCTCTCAGAGTTTGTACAAAGAGACATACTTGGAAGGGCTTCACAGGGTTTATAACATGAATCATAAGATGTGCAAAATCAGCACCATCTAAATGGGTGCTACACTTTCCTTCTTGAAACTGAGCATGCTTGGAATACCTGCCATCCAGAAAAATAGGTTAGGAAACTAAAAGAAGGCAAAAAACAGAGGCTGTTTTCAAATACGGTTTTGCTAAGTATGTTAAGTATTTTAAGATGCTCCAAAAATGAGTCAAGGGTGACAATAAATGAATGAGGTGACCAGGCAATCATTCCATCCTCTGACACCCTCCTATGAAAAATCTTCTTTCAGAAATGTTGCATACCAACACATTGGGACAAGCAGCATGGTCCTATAAGAAGGTGCACAGGGAAAGTAAAATAATAGTAGTTCAGAACAGGAAGGAAGGAAGGAAGGAAGGAAGGGAGGGAGGGAGGGAGGGAGGGAGGAAGGGAGGAAGGAAGGAAGAAACGGAACTGTATTCTGAGGGACTAAAACCCAGCTTTAAATGATCTCAATTCTTGAAACTAGATTAAGTATCCCTAGACTCCTAAGAAAAAACATAAGTTCTTTCTGGAGGAAAAGAACATCATTTGAAGCTTAAATTATCTCTACAACTTTTAATAAACTATGTTGAGAACTCAGTCAAAAATAACTGAACACATAAGGAAATAAGAAAACATGAATGAATATCACAAATATAAAGAGCCACACAGGGATCCAGATAAAGGGGTTAGGAGATACAGACTCCTAACTATTTTTAATAGTTCAAAATAATAAAATACAAGATCAAGCATTTCCACTAAATAAAATACAAGATCAAGCATTCCACTAAAAGTTATTACAAAATAATGGCTCTAGTTCCCTGTGCTATAAAATATATCCTTGTTGCTTATCTATTTTATACATAGTAGTTTGTATTTCTTAGTCCCATACCCCTAATTTGGCCTCTCTCCACTTCCCTCTTCCTTTTGGTAACCACTAGTTTGTTTTCTATATCTATGAGTCTGTTTCTGTTTTGTATATACATTCATTTGTATTATTTTTTAGATTCCACATATAAGTGATATCATACAGTATTTGTCTTTGTCTGACTTATTTCACTAAGCATAATATTCTCTAGGTCTATCCATGTTGCTGCAAATGGCAGAATTTCATTTTCTTTTATGGCTGAGTAATATCCCATTGTGTGTATATATATATATCACATCTTCTTTATCCATTCAGCATAAAATTTAAAAAACTTGCCACCTAGTTAAGCTGCTGAAACCAAAGACAAAGAGACAAAGAGAAAATCTTAAATGCAGCAAGCTTTTAAATTTGACAGCTGACTTCTCGGTTGAAACAATGGAGGCCAGAAGAAGGTGGTATTTTCAAATAAACAAAAGAAAATAAATGCTAACCAAGAATTCTATATGCAATACAAAAAAATCTTCAAAAACAAAGGTCAAATGAAGACATTTTCAGACCAAAGTAAAAAAACAAACCCCAAACAAGAGAATTTGTTGTAAGCCGACCTATACAAAATACACATACACACACACACACACACACACACACGCACACACACACACAGACACCACACACACACTGACTCTCTCTCTCTCTCTCTCTCTCTCTCAAGGATGCTCTTTAGACAGAAGAAAAATGATCACAGATGGAAGACTGAAGATTAAGGAAAGAATGAAGAGCAACAAAATGGAAATATGAGAGTGAATCTAAATGAATATTGACTGTAAAATAACAATAAAAATGTGTCTTGGGCAGTTTAAAATATATGACAATAATAGCACAAAGTATGGTAGAGGCTTAAATGGAGTGAAAGGGTTCTAAGGACCTTGGACAGTCCTGGAAGAGGTAAAAGTTCTAATTTATAATAGATGTTAATAAGTGAAGTGTACATTCTGTACTTTCTAGGGTAACCACCAAATAGTAAAAGAGACTATAACTACCAAGCTAATAAAGGGGGAAAAAAGAGTAGTAAAAAATCCTTAATCCAGAAGAAGGTAAGAAAGAGGAGAAAAAGGATAGACTGGACTGGAAAAAAATAAAAACCAATAGTAAGGTGGTAGATCTAGACTAAAATTTATCAATAATTACATTAACTGCAAATGGACTAAACACTCCAATTAAAACACAAAGATTATCATACTGAATTAAAGAAGAAATGATATGCTACTTATAAGAGGTGTACCTAAAGAAAGTCTGAAAGTAAAAAAATGCAAAAAGATATACCATGCCAACATAAATGAAGAGAAAGCTGGTGCAACTAATAGGCTTTAAGGCAAAAAAGCATTATCAGAAAAAAAAAAAAACTTCCTACGGATGAAAGGTTCCTGTACTTGTCAGTCTTTTTCTTTAACTCTTACTATGACTTGGCTTCTATCTCAACTACACCCCAAGTCTCAGTTTCCTCATTAGTAGAATGGGGATAGTAAGGATTTTTCTGAGAATTAAATAAGTTAATAAATGCAAAGTGCTCAAGACCTGTTAGCTGTCGATACCTGAC